GCGATTGGGTTATGTGATAGTTGCCATTTTGCTGTGATGGCATCATTGTGCTGCGTCATGGGGCCGGCAGCACCGGTGCCACGCCATTGTGATGGCAGAGCCGGTGAGTGAGAGTTGATGGGGTTGCATCATGTAACGAAGGCGCTGGGCGCCAGTTTGATGGGCTGGCAGTGAAGAGGACGTGTGTAAGCGTGGGGTTGGAATGTGATGGGGAATGGCAGTGAGACATTGGAATTAACTACAATGAAACGTGAGAAACACACAATGAAGTTCCTTGGGTACGGCCACGGTGTGTCGTGTGCAGGTAGAGGTATAAATATGGATCTGCCCACCCCAGTGGGGTAGATGCCGATGATTGCAAGTCCTGGGGATTTGCAAGAACTTGTGATTTGCCCGTGTGTCAATGGAGCGCCGGTGACGGATATCGGAGGTGGCAATTCAGACGACCCTCATAGGCTCCATGATATCACAGCATGGGTCGGTCTCTTAGGTCAGTTTGTGATATGCGTGAATTTTGATGGCCATAGTGGGCGCCACTCATGATGGGACGTTGTGACCAAGTATGAGGATGCATTACAAATTGATCGTGGGTAAGCTGGAGTGTGGGGAATGCCCAGAATTCTGCCATGATGGGCAGGGAGCCACCAAACGCTTTGGTAAGGAGATTGGATGGGGGTTGAATGGTCGATGAATTACTAAAAGCGCTGAGTGAATCATCGGTCAGAGTGACATGGGCGTTGCTTTGGTGTGTTTAACAGGTTTTTAATGGGCAATGAAATGATATGATCATCAGTGTCCGAGCCCATATTTTTGGCTTTCACTTGCGTTGACTGAAAATCATGCTATTGTTCGATGGCCATTACGTGTGACTGCCTAGTGCAGCTGGTGAGTCACGGCCACGTTTGCACTTCCTAAAGAATGTGCCCAATCCAGATCCCCAAACAAAGGGATCCCAAAGACACACAACAACCCACTACTATTCCAGCTGCAAAAGCACAGGTCAGCCGAAAGCAAAATGGACTAGTACTTGGGCCGGCAATTATGCCTGTCACAGGCTGCGACGTGATTGGTACAGTGCCCCTATTCTGTCTTACTTGACTACGCCGTATGCGCTCAGAGTTCCACAGAAAACTGAGCTGTCCCTTAATGTGGGCAATTTCTCTGGCTATACCAGCCAGCTGTAAGCCTTCACCGCGCATAAACGACAGTAAATTACACCAACACTGTTCACACACCCGTCTAAGCAATTTAGCAAGACGAGCAGTAAGTATAGGACTGCAAATGAATAGGTTTGCACTGAGCAGAGTCAGGAATAGGTCACCTACAACCTTCCAGAATTTCAACAACTGATCAAAATCAATGAACCTGTCCAGCCAGTCCTTTGGGTTGGCACTCTGGTTATGTACACCTCCTAAGGACACTAATATATTATCAGCATATAACTTAACGTCCAGCTTTACGCCTGATTAGGACGAAAGTATTATGGCTCTATATGTGTTAATTTTCAAAGAACTTTCTGATAGCTCGTTCTAGCTTTTTCGCAGCTGACGAGCTTGTCCTTCTGTCAGAGATGGCCTCTGAGTCGCCTGTGTGTCTTTGTACAGGTCAACCTTCACAGGAGCTAGGGGGCACTGGGATGACACGGCTTTTACCACAGGAGTTTGGACTCCGATCTCCTGGTTTAATTCTTTGGGACTCTCCTCAGTTTGACTCATGCCTTAGAATCTCTCATTGGACAGCAGTTAGAGGAAAATGAGTGGGATTTGTATGTTTCCAATCCTGCAATAAATTCGCGTTACTTCCAATTTCTACCCTTCTCCATTCTGGACCTCACTGAGGCAGTACTTTGTCAGCTGCTGGCTGACCCTGACTACACGCTAAACCAACTCAACTTTTCCTTACCTTTACTACTTACCTCCTTTCCCTTTATGTTCGATCAAACGCTGACCAGCCTGTAATATGGCGAGTTACCACCAGTCGCTGTCATTGACTGATCCCTGAGCTGTTATAGTAGGTATATATCTTCTTGGACTCTGTACTTTAATCTTTACTACAGCACTTTAGTGGGAGCCCCGAAGGCTTCCCCACAGAGTACTGGGCTGGATCTGAGACCCCGTAGGCTTCCCCAGTAAATCCAAACCAAGGGAAGTTAGCTGAATATACAGCCGGTTTGGGGCCCCGCAGGTTTTCCCAATAGACCGGGCTGTAGTTTAGCTTGTATTCCCTTTAGTTAGACAAGAAATGAACAGAATCCAAAATTAAATTACAGTGTGATTCTCCACGAATCACGACCTGTATTACAATTATTGGTTCAGGTTCCGTTCCCAGGTTCCTTTGCCTATTGGCTCAGGAGCTGGTCGGTTCAAACTCGCTTGTCCAAAGGGGTTCCCACCCCTCTATTTATACCCCACAGCCACTGTCCCCACACCCAAGAGCCCCCAGAATATTCTCCCAAAGATTCCGATCATCCCCAACCAGCTTCCCGGATCATCCCTTCTCCGTCTAGTCAACTTCCCGCTCAAACCCAATCAGGCACTGATCACCACCCCTAACTTCACCAATCATCCCCCAGAATCCATTCATGTCCCCCTCATACCGTAAGGGTCAAATCAATATTCCTCTTAGTATGCCCATTCATCCTTCTCCCAGCACTACCAACCGAATTGACACATCATACCCCTTATGATTCAACACTCAGAGTTATGATTACCTTGCTTATCAAAACATTGGACCAAATATTCAGTAGTTAGTCATCAATACTCACTTATCGCTCAACCAGCGATTCCCACTTTATCATGCACCATATATGGTATATACTGCCTCAGACCAGCCGGGGTGTGACAGCCCAGTCATCCCCTCCGTTCTCTACAAACCCTTCTGCATCGACGCTGAGGTCTATGTCGGTCTCCATGTCGTCGTACACCAGTAAATCCGCCTCGTTGGCGCTGTCCTCAATCACGACGTAGCCTCTCTGCGCCTCTCCAGTGACCGTCGCCACCTCCGCCTGCTCCGCGCCGACTCCAGCCACGCCCTCGGCTCCAGCGCCTTCATCCCGACATTCTGGCCTCACCATCTGCCGTCCGATCGTGCACGCTCCAAGCTTTCTGCTGCCTACGATCACTTGACTCCGCCCTCGCCTGCTTCCCCATGCTCTTGCAATTGGCGCCAGCGCTTTGATTGCGCCCTCCATCGCAGAGCAGGCCTTCAAATCCAGCACCGCACCTGACCTTCTGTCAGGCCATAGACTCCAACATCCCTTGGGGCTATCGCAGGTCCACCTGGGCATGCAAAGTCCATGCATGGCACGACGAATCGCAGCCATGCGAGCAGCACCGCCAGGCCACTTCGACTTCGCCATCGTCATTGTCCTAGCGCCTTGGCAGCCGCGCTATCGCAGCCACGTTCAAGTCCATCGCTGCAAGTCGCCACCATCGTGCATACGCCTCAGAGGCGCCCCACAGCTCGGAGTCCAAGGTTGTCGTACGACATCGAAGGCAGCTATGACACATGACACATTGCGGCAGCTGTGGGAGCGCACCCAAGGTACGGGATGGTACCCGTGCATCCGTCCGTATTAGGTTGACATGAGTGGCGTGCACTCCACTCAAGGTTGTGACGTGAAGGGTGGCGTGGGCATAGTCACACATGACAGCCCGTCAGGCTGTCATGTGAGCGACCCAATGCTATGTTCAGGCCAAGCCTGGCCCATGGCGGGCATGGGCAACCTACGGCCACTTGCCATAGCGCTGAAGTCATATCATAAGACAGCGTCAGGTCTATTCTTGGGGTGCCCATGGCTCAGCAAATTTGCACCCAATCCCAGCAACGCGTCACCGTCAAGGCGAGCTATTCCAGGCAGTCGAAATCTCGTTTTAACAAACTACACATCACATTCCGTCAAGGCCTTTCCCTTTGTTGTCATATGTTCTTGTTCATCGTATTGACATTGTCCTACGTCTACTTCAGGGAGTGAGGGACTTGTTTGAGCTATCCCTGATGATCCTGCTCATCTTTGGTTATATCGTCATGTACTATCTGTACCCCCTTTCTTTTCTTCAACCGTAACGACCTACTATTAGTGTGGAAGCTAGCCGGGGCTATCATCAAGTTTTGGTAAACGCCTTTTTCAGTTATGTTAGTTTATAAGCGGCAGAATCCCTTTAACTGTTTCACAGCCGATTAATGGCATGCTCAAAGGGCAACTCTCTTTATCCAGTTTTTGCCCATGTGTCCTGTTGATATCCCTGGGCTGAACGCCTCAAGGCGGCCCATTCACGCACACAGCCAGTTATCCTTCTTTGGCCAAATCCTTATGCAGACTACAGTTACAATGCACAACATCAAACGATCGTGAAGTTCAAACCCTCGGACCTTCTGAGAACTTAAGACAACTTGTGTCCACCCAATTCAGTTTCCTGACGCTGCCTTTCTCAAGCAACTATTCACCGCTTTCCCCGAAACTTCCAACGATCCTATTTATGATCCATCAGGCCCCAATCAGGTGGCATCAGTGTTCTTCATCATGCCCAGATCAGCCACTGAGGGGTTGTGACTGACCTTGCTTCCTTGGTCTTCTCCCTACAAACATTGTCCAGGCAGCACGTTAAGCATAATAAACTGTAACGATACAACAAGCCTTTGATATTTCCTTGATATGCCGGTTGCATAGTGGCTCTCCCTTGTTCTTTTTATAAACGCATATCTGTTTTTTCTTGGCTGGCTTCCTTTTTCTTTTCTTGTTCACCCTGACTGGCTGTTTGATAGTGGTCCAGTCAGCTGCCCTATGTAGGTCATGAGCCCGCCTATGATGTGCCGGTGCTCATGACTAACGGCAGTTTTAACACTATCGTTTTGTCGATGATGCTCGGCATGGTTCAACAGGCCCCAAGATTCCCGGCCCCCGCTTCTCAGGTCCAGCCTTCCCCGCGCCCTTTGCAAGGTCCCCGCCGAGACGCCCCCGGCGGCCCTTCTCGCCGCACCCCCCCCCACCGCGCGCCCCCATGCCGCGAGGCTCCGCCGCATCCGCTTCGGCCGACGACGGCCGGGGCGACCGGCCGGCCCCGACCGCCGGCTCGCCCTCACTGCGGCGGATCCAGAAGGAGCTCGCGGAGGTGAGCCTGGACCCGCCCGCCAACTGCACGGCCGGGCCCAAAGATGACAACCTGTACGAATGGGTGTCCTCGATCAAGGGCCCGGAAGGCACGCCGTACGCGGGGGGCCTGTTCTTCCTGGACATCACATTCCCGACGGACTACCCCTTCCGGGCGCCGAAGGTGCGCGCCGAGGGCTTGTGCGCTTTCCTTGGGGTTGGGAATCGCCGGAAATGGCCTGATGAGGGGCGGAGATGGCGATTTGTGGCGTCTTTCGGTCGTAGAGAGATTGGTCGAGAATGCGAAATGGGTGGGCGCTTGAGGCGCCTTTCCCCTTCGCCGTTACCGTTTCCATTGCTCGTGCTTCATTGCTTGTGCTTAAGAATGTGAATGGGACGCGCGTTTCGCAGCGCGCGTGGGGAGAATTGTTGCTCCCTCTGTTCGTTGAATGTCCTGCCTCGATAGTTTCTTGCTATTTGGGAAATGGGGCGTGTTGGCAACACAAAAGACAAGGTGGCATCTGGACGCCGCCTTTCAGCTTGTAGCTCCTCTCCCACTGTCTCCGATATTTGCCACCTGCTATTCCCAATTCAAAGGAAATATCCATTGGTTCCTCCGGGCCCCCAATCCTTTTTTGTTTTCATGCCCGAAAGGTTGCTTTATTGTTGATTTCCTGCGATCGCGAATGGGACCGGGATGCAACAGCATCTTGCAAACCCCAGCCCCAGCCTCACCTCAATGCCTCACCGTCCTTGTGAATGATTGTGAGGTTTGTCTTGTCCATGCTATAAGCGCTTTTCAGAAATCTCTCGAAGGTGTCTTGCACTTTGGTTGATATTCTCACAAGTGTTCCTGTTGGGGAGGGATGGCCTATTGTAGGCACATTTCAGTTGCGTATTCAAAGCCCATCTTGGCAAGTTGCCCCCCGCCTTTGAGGTTGAATCACCGTTTCCCTGTGCCGCCAAGGTGGTCTTCAAGACACGTATCTACCACTGTAATGTCAACAATTCAGGCCACATCTGCCTGGACGTCCTGAAGGACCAGTGGAGTCCAGCGCTGACAGTGGGCAAGATCCTGCTATCTGTGAGCGCACTGCTGAGTGAGCCCAACCCACACGACCCCCTGGTGCCCAACATCGCACAGGAGCTCCTCACAGACAAGGAGGAGCATGATCGCATGGCTGCGGAGTGGACCAAGCGGTATGCCATGTCCTGAGGGAAAGGTAAGGGGGAGCAACGTGCTGTGGCTGGATTTTCTGAAGTGCTGCAGATCGTTTGCTTTCGCTTTGGCTGACATGGGGAGGTGAATGGGCAGTGGCCAGGCCTGCAGCCCTTTCCAGGGCAGGGTTTTGAATTCCGATCAACTTGAATTGTTCTAAATATGGCGCTGAAACGCAGTTTGTGTGAAGCTGTGAATGGTGAGCCGCCAATGGCAAAGACTGTTTGGGATGGATGCAGGCTTGCAATTGGATTCGATTTCAAGTCAGTGGATTTGCCCACAAAGGGTGAATTGAGCCCTTGTATACTCCCAAGCTGGTTTGATTTGAGTTCTAGTGAGTGGTCAATGCAGGGCGAATGCAACCAGAGCCGTGACACACTTTCGGCGTTGATGAGAACCAGTTTGGCCACAGATCAAGAACTGTGGCAAGTCAGTGCCCTCGCAGTCGTTTGTGGCATGTTCCTCTGCAAGATTTTATGCAGGTTGAAAGGCATAGGTGTGTACAAATTGGGGTTGGTGGGACTGGGTTTGGAGGGCAGGGTGCTGGGGAAGGAAGGGCACAGTGGGAGTCATGTGCATCACTGTAATTTCAAAGACATCGAATCCTGAGTCTCATTTGGTAGCAGTGATGACTGCAAGCAAGTCCACACCTGTGGGCACCTCGAAGTGATGACCAAAAAAGTAACTAAATGAGGGAATGTGATAGTGTATGAATGCAAATATACTTGCCATTGCAGACAGACGACCACGATCGATGAATCGACGTAATCAAATACACACAATACCATGCTACAGAGCAAGTATTGTGTAGGATACAACATCTACAGCACAATAAACCATAAAACAAAGTCCACTCCCATCAGAGGAAAAACCATTCTCTCTCTCCCATCTCCTGCTTTGACATACTCAGAGGGGTCAAAAAAGTTGACATGCCCAAAAAATTGTGCATGCAGTGGCTCCAGCATGGAATGTGCGAAATCTTCAGTCACAAGCTTTTTGTTGATATACAGTACCTCCAGCACATGCCTGGTGGGTCTTGTGGGAGTCAGGGATGTATGTCACTGCAACATGCACTGACACTTCCATCCAATGCTGCACCTGTCAGGAGTGCACTTGCGGAAGCATGCTACACCTGCTTTCGACCTGTCACCAACTTCAGTGTTCAGAAATGAATAAACCTCTTACATTGCAATAGCTACATCATCTCGACCTAACTAGTAGATTCTTCAAAACAGTGGACCTTACCTTGGTTCAGTGAATCTCCCCCTGTAATTCAACTTTTGGCGCTAATCCAAGCTCTGTCTTTGCCAAAAGGGACCATCATTGAAGAAAAGATGTCTTAATACCTTGATCGAGCACCACCACACAATATGGGCAAAGTTGGAGGCCCACCTTCCTCCAGACAATAAATTATGATGTTCCCCAAGAACGCCTTTGAACATATCGCACGTGGGTGGCACTGATTGCATCTTATTCTTGACCTGTCTATGCAAACGACGGCCCGTATGCTGCTCTCTGCCACCAGAAAACCGTGCTGTCAGCTAACTAAACTGCAACCTGTCATCCTTCGAACCTGTTGCCCGTGCACTTATTTGCACATACAGACACTGAATAGCCAAGCACACCTTCCATTGTCCACACACAAGGACACTTGTCCACATTGAATACCCCTCCAAGGGTTGCCCAATTGACTCCCTCGTATCCGCAGTGCAGATCTCCCGATGTGCTGCAGATTTGCGCAACTTCACAACTCGCTGTGCACAACATTTGCTGTCTGCCCTAGCAATAGTCCCACTGCACCTTCAGCCCACTTCCACCCTGACTTGGCCCATAAGCTCTATCCCATCCTGAGCTTCTACCTTCGGATATCGAACTTTGGGCTTAATCTTCGCCAGACTCCGAATTGGGGCTCCTGGCTGAATCCTCATCTGAATCGGGAGCTGAAGCCGGTGCTGATTCTGGAGGTGTGAGCTCCTCGTCACTTGGTGGTGAGGAACTTGACCCTGAATCTGGCATGGACACCGAATCAGTAGTGGGAGGGCTAGCTGGCGGTGTGCTTGGTGCTTCTGATGCCTCTTCGCTTGGTGGCAAGGTGGGCGGGGTACTTGGTGGTGTACTGAACCCTGAATCGGGCACTGGTACGGATTCAGCAGTGGGAAGGGTAGCTGGCAGTGTGCTTGGTGCATCTGGCGCCTGGTCACTTGGTGATGGGGTGGGTGGAGTGCTTGGTGCTGGGGTGGGTGGAGTGCTTGGTGCTGGGGTGGGCGGGGTGCTTGGTGCTGGGGTGGGTGGAGTGCTTGGTGCTGGGGTGGGCGGGGTGCTTGGTGCTGGGGTGGGCGGGGTGCTTGGTGCTGGGGTGGGCGGGGTGCTTGGTGCTGGGGTGGGTGGGGTGCTTGGTGCTGGGGAGGGCGGGGTGCTTGGTGCTTCTGGCGCCTCTTCACTTGGTGCTGGGGTTGGTGGGGTGCTTGGTGCTGGGGTGGGTGGGGTGCTTGGTGATGAACTTGGCCCTGCATCTGGTGCTGATTCTGGATCAGCCGTGGGAGGCGTGGCTGCTGCTGTGATCGGTCCTGAATCTGGCGATGCACTCGGCGATGAACTTGGCTCTGTGCTTGGTGCTGGCCCTGGCATTGCATCTGTCGAATCTGGAGCTGCACCGGGCACTGAGCCTAACTGCTCATCTTCTGCTGGGCCTGATGCCTCTCCCTCATTCAAATCTTGGCTTCCGATGGGCGCATCGCTGGATGCCGGATCTGGGGCACTTCCACCCTCTGATTGTGGACTCTCCGCCGGTGCATCTACAGCCTCTCCTTCAGTGTCTTGGCTTGGGGCTGCACCTTCACCTGTTGCTGGCCCAGGAGCACCTCCTCCTCCAGATTGTGGGCTTGCAGCCGGTGCTGTCTCCGGCTCTGCAGTCGGACCTGCCAGCTCCCCCTCATCCAAGGCTTGGCTGGGCTCCGCTGCTGTGCTGGGTGCTGTGCTCGGTACGCTGGGCTCAACTGATCGCGGGCTTGGTGCAGGGGCTGCATCTGCAGCTGGCCCTTCGGCAGGTGCTCCCTCCTCCCTGTCTCCCTCCTGTCCCTCACCCTCCTCAATGGCAGCAGGCAGTGACGCAAATCCAGCCTCGATCGCCGCTGCCACATCAGGAGGCAGACCGCTCCCCTCGCTCCCCGGGGCGGGGGCGGACATGGGCACAACCACAAGCTCCGAATCTGCTGTCAAGGCCTGGATGACCATCGGCCCCTCTCCATCATCGTCGTCGCCATCATCGTCTTGCCCATCATCCCCATCGTCAGGGTCTTCAGGAGGCTCTTCTTCCTCCTCCACATCTGCAAGGACCGTCTCCTGCGCTGCCTCCCGGGCTTCATTCTTGGCAGTGGTGTCCACCACCGCGCTGGTGGCCAGCCCCTCATCACCCGAGTCGCTGACGCCGCTGCGCTGTGACCTCAGCACGTCCACAAAGAAGCCTAGCACCCGCTGGAGGGTGCCCCCAAGGTCAAAGGGCGGTGGCGGCGGCGGCGGCGCCAGGACCGCGCCATTCCCCTGCGTTTGGCATCGGATGGACGTCAGGCAGAACGTTGGGTTCACGGTCTGGGTGGACGGAGGGAGCACCTGGTACCTAGCATACTTTGTGCATCGTCCGTCCCAATGTAGAACACAATGTCCGAATCGAGAAGACTGGGTTCTGAACCTTTGCAAGACTTTTATAAACGCTAGGGTACATAATGTATAGAATACCACACAAAAGAATGAAATACATAGAGTTATACATCGCCAACATATAAAATAAAACATGTGGCATGGCAAACATGAGATAGGCAAGGAGACATTGCCCAAATGACTGCCACGTTCTAATGCTACTTGCAAAATGCAGGCCAAAAGCGTCGTTTGGTCATTGGGCCCTCGAGCCACATGCACCACCCGCCAGCTGGCGACAGACGTGTCACTTGTTCAACAATCCAGACTCGTTCCATGTTGAGCGAGTAACTGAATGAAGCTGTTAGACATTGTTCACGTGCAGACAATACGGCACGCCGCTGCCCTTTGGGGGAACAGCCAATATCTACGGTACTACTGAAATTGCATGCTCATTGTATTGACACATTTTCTGGCAGCAACTGGGGCCGTCGCTGCACCAGACATCCTTGATGTGTTAGTTCGCAAATAGCTCAGCCTTCGCACACCGCAAGTCCATACAACACTGGCAAAATGAAGGCCAGATGGCATGGTCTGCTCACAATCCAACCGTATCGTTTCGGCAAATGTGGTTCCAAAATCACATGGTCAACAAGCACATTACTATGTACAAACCATGCAATACACGGTTCCTGATGGTACACGGTTGAAAATTGTGTCCCATACGTAGTAATGTGTATAGTAACCGTGTGATTTTGGGGCCACATTTGCCAAAACGACACGGTTAGGGAAGACATTGTGTTTATTTTGGTATGCTTGGCATCATTGACGTTAAGATTTCCCCCCCTCCTCCCTTAGTGTCAAATCCTTATGTCGAAGCTGGGTTGACTCAGCAATATTACCTAATACTGGTGTTAAGGTTCAAGGTGCTTTTGAGGAGAAAAAACAGTCAAAGTAGTGCTGATTTCAGTGGGTCAAAATTTGAGATTCTAAATGACATCGTAGGTGAATCGGGCAGCTTCAACAACTGCGTATTGATCATTCTAAGCCCTTCTTTGAAGATCGAACAATTGCAGGAGGCCTGGGAACATGTCACAGTTTGTTTTCTGCTTATCAGCCGCGTTTTTGTCCACCTTCTCTCCTTATGACGATTTAGTGGCAATTACATAAGCTCTTAGCGGTACAGGCCTGACCCACCCACCCACTAACCCCTTTTAGCGTCAATTTGATGCTAAGCATATACAAATCGACATGGTGTCTTCCTTTAGATTTTGAAGTAGACCGTGTCATGGCTATGTCATCTGGCCTTTTTCACTAGTACAGTGCGATTGGGGAGTGCGTTAGTAACAACACGACATTCCTCA